TGAAGAACCAAAAACATCAACGTTCTGCCTCCATAACAGAGGATCAGTGACTTCAGAGATGAAGAGATTGTTGAATGGAAACCAATTAGAGCTCAGCTCCACAGTGAGATGGCGCTACTCGGACTGGTCTATCCAGAAGCCAAACCAGTAGAAGAGAAATATGAAGCTCACTAGAATGAAACACGCTGCCTTGATAATTTGTGCGATTCTGTGCTGAAAGCCCTAAAAAGAAAAGGAGACGACGTATTTGGACAAAGACATGGCTGAGCAAACGTGGCTACTACGGTCTGTCAGTTTACATATCTGTAAAAAAAAAAAAATCTGTAAAAAGCCTATTTATAGTAATATCCACCTGTATATTATATTCGGTATATATCCAGCTGTAAATTTAGTTCACAACACTAGTTATCTATATATATTCATAGGACAAATCTATTAGTGAAATTCTGTTTATAATGGTATTCATCTCTGTACTCATTCAGTAGAACCCATGTCCTGTATTTATGGAACCATTATTTATCCTGCACTTGCTGCTATTGCACTTCTGGTTAGACCTAAACTGTATTTCATTGCCTTGTACCTGTACCTGTGTAATGACAATAAAGTTGAATCTAATCTAATCTGATCTGACAGAAAGAACTCCATTTCACTCACACCCCCGCCATGCTGCTGGGTTTTCATCTGAGAGGAAGCAGAAGAATCCTTGTTTGTCCACTGAGCGATTAGCCTACAACCACCTTATGACGGCCGACTGAAAATCAAACATGTTTGATTCTCTCCCAACTTTACGACTCCTGATGGCGAAGTGGTCGTTAGGGGCCGATCGCCCCTCGTTACCCCCTGTACACTACACCACGCACCATCAGGGTGAAAGTCAGTCTGATCGAAAAATTCTCGTACGACTGAAGAATCGACCCAAAAAATGGTAAAAAAAATCGAACAGTATACGCCCGTGTTTAGAGGAGAGGAGAGTGGGGGCCGAAGCACCAGCCTGAGACCTACAGGGATCCAGACTCTTTAATAGAAAAATGCGGAAACATCAGGAAAACAAGGCAGCATGCAAACATAATTATTTTAAATAAAGATTTTATGTAATGAGCATATTTGTTTCTTGTAAAAGGACCAAATTCTGACATATTTCTATCCAATAACCCAGAAGATATCATGGTATTAATTTGACAGAGAGTCACATTTCCATTCACCCAAGGTTCAAGCCAACATCCAGTAGTCAGGGTTTAATCTAAACTTTATTCAGTTCATTCAGCTGCTGTCACACCATGATGATTTAGAACAGCGTCTGCCTGACGTATGAGAAATCTGACATCGGTTGGATAAGTTATGGGTACGCTGAAACACGTCGACATACGTCAAGTATGAGCATACGCCGCATGCCAGTGTCTGCCATCTGTGGACCATTAGTTCCAAGGCAGTTATCTGATGGTTGACATACGTTCAGTGAAAAGGCTGATTTATCCTTTGCCAGCTCGTCTGCATGTGTGTCGCGGTGAACGCAGAGACGTTCCCGCCCCCTCCACAGACACTCTGCTGCACCTCTCCCAAATTGTAGATGGCCGCAGACAGGAGGCCTCTGATTGGTCAAATCTACATCCGCTCTACTCTATGCGTGTTCGGTACCTTAACGGCTTCTTTTGTTTATCTGACCGCCATTGTGTAAAAAGATGTGATGTTGGACCAGCTAGAAGAGCGAGGGGCGCGAGAACGCTGGGAACCTTTTTCCACGCTATTTTTGGCCCTCATGTCCCTCCGTTGTCGCCCAAACTTGCCTCCACTTCCTCACCACTTCGGCCGCATCTAGACCCACAGCTAGTTCCTGATAGTCCCTCTCGTGTTGTGGCGTGGAATAACATAGCGCAGACCACACTTCAATATTGGGCATAAATTCAGAAATATCTGAGACAAGCTGCTGCGGGAGGATAACCAGCCCTTAAAGGAATAGTACACCCAAAACATGATTAGCCTTCATTTTCTACTCAC